GTGGCTGGCGAGACAAGATCGGCTCCCGCTGCCGCCTCCCTGTCGTCTCCTTTGTGCTGGGTGACGCGCCTGAGGCAGGGGCCTCGCTGTGCCCCCGCCCACAGGCCCTGCCTCCCTCCCACGGGAGGGTCGCCCCTTTAGGTGGGAGCTCTGTGTTCTGAAGGCCTCAACATAAAGGCCACACGGGTCATCCGGAACATAATCGTTCCTGTCAGCGGTGTAGTCAGCATTCTGTGCTGTTTCTGGGATTGAGATTTCCATAGGATGCTTACTGCGTACCCGACTCTGTCTCAGGCACTCTTTGCATCCGGGGTTTGAGGGGAGATTTTATATATATATATATATATGCATAAAACACCTCTAATACAACGTACAGAATAAAATGATGCTGATAAAACTCTGGGCCAGTTCAGAGAAGATAGTGTTCACACCAGCTGGGGGAGCTGAGTCATTCATTCATTAAAAACGCATGAATGACTACCAAGTGTGATGTTAGGTACTGGGAGTGATAAAGACGTGTCAGATTTATCTCTGTTCTGGCATGTTACACATTAGGCTGTAATTGTGACATTTCTAGCTCCCTGAAATAGACGTCTCCTGTTTCGTCTCCTGGCAACAGGATTCTCCCTCCCTTTGGGAAATTGTCCCTTTCCCCCTCCTCAGGAATGGGCTCCTGTCCTAAACTGGTGCAATGATAGAACCTCAGCACGACCAACTCCCTTCCCCTTCTCCCCACCCCCACACACTTTCATCAAAGAGTGGGTGTGTGACCAAAACAGGTCAAGCAGAATACTTCCCTGGGCTTATTACACAAAGAGGGACAGATAAGTATTCTATTTCCTGTAGGGAAGGTCTGCCCTCACTAGTGAACAATGAAGCCCAACTGAAGACAGAAGCAAAGATGAGAGAAAGAGAGACGAAGAGGACATCTTCTGATGTGACCACAGTAGCAAACCAGGATATCCCCAGAGCAGCTGGGGATTCTACAGGTCCTGGATTCTGGAGCCTGAGCATCCTCTCAACTTATCCTCAGTTCCAGTAAGCTAATAGAAGTTGCTTTTCTGTCTCTCACAGCTCAGAGTCCCAGTATGAGAGGCCGCATGGAGGAGGCTAGGCTTTATTTGAATTTGACATTAAAAAATGGACAGACTTTAGCAAAAATTTAGGAGATTTTCTAGGCCAGAGGGTGAAAAACTGTGGCCCACAAGTGAAATCCAGCCCCCTGAATTTGAATGACCATTTTTTATATATTGCAATGGTTGTATTTTAAATGGTTATACAAATAGGACATAGTATTTTCAATTTTGCCTCTTAAGCCTCAAAGTCTAAAATTTTTACCATCAGACCCTTTACAGAAAATGTTTTCCCACCCCCGTGCTAGGCAAAGATAGCACTCAGTAAGTTGTGTGGAAAAGGAGGTAATATTAGAGAGGCAGGTTTGTGGGCATTTTAATTGTCCTGCCATCTACTGATTTTTTTTAATCTCCTGTGGTCGTAGAGAATATTCAGGAGGCTGACATCTATAGATAAATCACCAGGGCCCTCTTATCTTGTGGCTTTCTGTTTAGTTTGACCAATAAGACGCACTGGCAGGGCTGGAGGGTTAACTCAGTTGGTTAGACCTCGGTGTTATAACACCAAGGTCATGGGTTCAGATCCCCTCACCAGCCAGCCGCAAAAACAAAAACAAAAACCCTGGCAGAAGATCAAAAGAAGAAAGGAGAGAAATATCAGAATATTTATTCTTCTTCAAGTATGTATTCTTCACCAAGTATGTATTCTTCTCCCCCTTACACTAAGCCAAAATTGTGCTATAGTTGTGTCCCTCTGTGACTACAATGCCTGTCTGGAGGACTCTTCCATGGCTTCACCTCTCATGGGTCTCTAATAATACCACTTCCTTCCAGTGCCCCTTCCACCCTAGGGTAGTAATGGCTTCCCACTGTTGCTAGTTCCCTTTACCCTGCCAAC